GACTGGCCAAAGTGGTGAACCTCATCTCTACTAAAAAATACAAAAATTATCTGTTCAGGGTGGCTCATGCCTGTAATCCCAGCTACTTGGGAGGCTGAAGTAGGAGACTTGCTTGAACTGAGACCAGGGAGGCAGAGGTTGCAGTGAGCTGAGATAGAGTCATTGCACTCCAGCCAAGCGAGACTCCATCTCAAATAAAAAAATAAAATAAAGAAAAAAAAAAAAAACAGAAATCTCTCAATGCGACAGGGATAAGAGGATCTTAAGTGGCATAGTCCACGTGGTGGCACTTAATTACTACACAAGCCAAGCATGGTTACTGTAACAGAGAGGAGATGCAAAGCTGTGATCAGAATACATTGACTCACAGAGATCTATGGTGTTGGCTAATCGACCATAGATTTCCTAGAAAAAAAAAATGTGATGGCAGTCTCTTACATTCTTTCTTGATCTGTGTGAGTAGTTCTAGATCTACTGAACAGAAATATAACTTGCCACCAAGACACACTCATGGACCCTTAATTGTTTTCATTCTTGAGTAGTTTACGTACTAAGAATCTCTTGAATAAAGGAGAGGCTGGGTCCCCTTGAGGCTGGGTCATATTGAGGAAGGACATAATTTCTTTTTTTTTTTTGAGACGGAGTTTCGCTCTTGTTACCCAGGCTGGAGTGCAATGGCGCGATCTCGGCTCACCGCAAACTCCGCCTCCTGGGTTCAGGCAATTCTCCTGCCTCAGCCTCCTGAGGCACACATCACCATGCCCAGCTAATTTTCTGTATCTTTAGTAGAGACGGGGTTTCACCATGTTGACCAGGATGGTCTCGATCTCTTCAGCTCATGATCCACCCGCCTCGGCCTCCCAAAGTGCTGGGATTACAGGCTTGAGCCACCGCGCCCGGCCAACATAATTTCAATATATATATTTTGATTTCAATAGCTTTTGAGGTACAAGTAGGTCTTGGTTACATGGTTGAATTGTACAGTGATTAAGTCTAAGATTTTAGTGCAGTTATAGTGTAGTTTTTTCCAAAACTCCCCCCTCCCCCTTTCTAAATCTCCAATATCCATTGTACCACTCCACATGCCTTTGCATACCAAAAGCTTAGCTCCCATTTATAAGTTAGAACATATATTATTTGGTTTTCCATTCCTGAGTGACTCCGCTTAGGATAATGGGCCTCTAGCTCGATACAAATTGTGCAATAGACGTTGTTTTTTTCTTTTCTTATGGTTAAGTAGTACCCCTTATTATATATGTGTACAGGTTTCTTTCTGATATAACAATAATTTTTTCTTTGGGTAGATACCTAGTAGTAGGATTGTTGAATTGAATAGTAGATCTACTTTAATTTCTTGAGAAATCTTCATACTGTTTTTCATAGAGGTTGTACTACTTTACATTCCCAGCAGTGTCTAAGCAGTCCCTTTTAACCACATCCATGCCAACATCTATTGCTTTTTTTGTTTTTGACTTTTTAATCATCGCCATTTTGGCTGTATTAAGGTGATATCTCACTGTGGTTTTAAGTTGCATTGAGGAAGGACGTAATTGAGTGAAGAAGATGCTAGATCCCTCAAAGAAGGGCTATTTTCACATAATTAAGTCCCTGCAAAAATAATGGTTATAATGATTATCAAGATTATGCAAAGCAGAACATGGCAAATTTAAAATGAAAGCAAATCTAAAAGATGTTTGCAACATTTAGACCTTTTGGAGAATAATAAGATCATATTTGAAATGAGGCACCTATGTAAATCAGGACACATGAAATAATTTAATTCATGAATTACAAACATTATCTGAATTTTCTCACTTAAATAAAACATATTTTTGTATCTTCAAAATCACAGTGAGAAACAATAGTTCTGATGGTCTTTTAAATTTGACTAGAATTTTGAAAAATTACTCTGTTTTCAGTATGCACTTCCTGGGCCAAAATGAAAATACTATGAGCACCTTCTATGAGTCATTAGTTGAAAATAACTTCACTACTTTTTGTATAAAGATTTATTTCTTCCAAATTTATTTCTTCCAAAATAAATTTGGAAGAAATATTTATAAGTCAACTAAGACCCTTAACATGATTAACCAAGAGAAGGAGATACACACCTAGAGAAACTTAGTAAATATGACATAAAAGAATTACACTAAGTAACATAAAGTATTTATGTTAAGAGTGAAAGTAGGTTAATTTATTACATTTTCAAAAAGATTTCAAAATGGCTACAAAACAAAACCCAACAGTTTTCTGTATGTAGGAAATACATCTAAAGCAAAGTGATTGAGAAAGATTTAAAAGAGAGAAATAGAAAATAATTTGACAAACATATGCAAATATTAATATAATAGAAGTCAGCTTTTCTGTATAGAATGTCTCCAAAGGTCTTTATTATTCCCACCTTCATTACTTTTGAAACTACATTAAAGATAAAGCTTTTCTCAGACTGTTCACTAATTAGCTAAAAAAAACAATTCAACCAAACAACAACAAAAACCCATAACTTGATAAGCAGCTTCCTAAAATAACACTGTGATCCCCTGAAATGTTAATATGAACAACCAGCTGGCAGACGATGATAAGGATGCAGTAATATTTTTAATTGGTGCTTGTTCTGAACACATATTAGAATAGTTACAATACCAACTACATGAACAATTATTCCAATGTTAACAAAAAAAACAAATTTCTCTTAATTCATTATAATAAGGATAAAAAGTAAATTATGTAACCACAATTAGAGGCATCCTATTTAAATGAATATTCTTTAAAATTGGAGAACAGTTACATTTTTTGTGGTGATGGCATTTAATATAATAAATATGTTTGCTTATGAAAATAATTTTAATGCCAGTTTCAGTTTAATAAATAGAACAGATCCAAAGTTACATGCTTGGACAGTTAGCATGTTTTCTTAGCCTCTGTGATTTAGTGGAAAACTGATGGGAGACTTGAGTTGTAAAGTTAAATTTCCCACTAATCTAAATTATAATTTTAGAAGATAATTTCATTTTTGCAGAGACCTTATTTTATTACTTATAAAATAAAAAATGTTCAACTAAATGATGTTCAATAGCAATGTTTGTTCTAACATTTTGAGGGGTTTTCACAATTCAGAATGTTTTATTGAAACAATCAGTCATCTTGTGTCACTTTCAGACCTTCTCTCCTTAAACTCGCATACACACATCACAGGTCATAGATTTATATAAGCAAAGTATGTAAATTATACATCTATAACTAAAACAAATTTGCATAAGTTAATATTCTTATTAAATCTGGAAGACACTATCCTGCTCATTTCTCATTTGCTTTAAAGAATGTTACTCTTGACATCAGTTTCTCTTCCACTGATCCTGCCCATTACCTCCTCACAACGTATTTTTCTACTTTCTCTAATGTCTTTATCTAAAAAAAAATTACACTTGACCCATTCAGTTAATATCACAAGTTACTAACAGTTTGAGATCCTCCATTTAACAAAATAACTTTATCTTCATGCAGATCCATAATCCTTTTATAATGATTAATTTGTGGATACTTGCAGGTTTTATAAGCCTCTGTGCATAAAGGTTGAACAATCACAAAATCTTCTTCTGTAGTTAAAGTATTTAACAAAGTTATTACTACAACTTTGTGATATACATATTATTAAGTAGATAAATAAATGGGAGAAATAGATAGATCATAGCAAGCCTTAACATATTTTTTACTATTCCATAGCTCAGGTTCTTAATATTGAACAAGAAAGCAACAATTTAGAAGCTAAAAATATGGATGCTATCTAAAAGAGGGCAGTGTCAATTAGAAGAATCAGTGTTCAGGAATGAATGTCCTCCTTTCCCCACAAATAAAGGAAGAAAGAAAGAAAAGGAAACTGGAGATACCCTAGTGTAAACATCTTGAGAATGTCCATTTAAACAGTGACCCCCAAATAAATAAATAAATAATGTATTTACTCATTTGCTGAGGTGGTATTCATTGAATACCTACTACTGAGTTCTTTCTCCTTAATATTAATTAATGGGCACGGTTCTTGTCACTGAAGAATGCACTGAACAAGGAAGATGAAAATCTTCTCTAAAGATTTTTCATATTGTTATGATGAGCCAGGTAAAACAAGACAGAGAATTACAAGAATACACCAAATTTCATCTTCAGTTAAGGGGGGGACTGAATGCCTACCCCAACGATTCAAATATGCAGGATTTCACCTAAATAAAAAGAGTATTGTTAGTCAAATAATAAAAGACTCTAAGTTTCAAAACTATTGAAATATTATATTGGTTGGGTCAGTGCTTCTGGAATCTCCAATACCACCCAGAACTGGTGATTCCTAGGACACATTGAACTCCATATAAAGTTGTGCTCACTTATAAGATTTATTACAGTGTAAGTATATGCAACAGGATCAGCAAGAGGAGGCAGTGGGAGAATGGTAAAGAGCGCTAGAAAGGAGAAGGAAGCCTAGGGGACAGAGGAGGCAAGAGGAAGACAATGAGCCCCTTAGGAAGCCAACCCCTCCGCCTTGTGGACCTGGTGTGGGAAGAAGTTGTGGGAGCCTGGGCATGGGGTGTGGTCTCTATGAGGGAAGATGTAGAATGGGCAAAAACAACCACTCGGGAATTTTTATAGAACGGAACAGGGCTCCTTGGAGGCCAGGAGAAACTAGCCAGCTACCGACCAACCAAAATAGCTTAAACGTTTTCGTTAGGATTGGCTGAGGGGTGATGGTTTCAGAGAGGGAAGAAGTTTCCACTGTGGTCCTCTCAGATCAGGCCTCTAGGGTCGATTTCTCCAACTCTGCGGGAGCTCTCGGGCCCAGCGTGAGCCACGCCCCCCCCTCAGGAGGCCACCGCCCTTCTGGAACCGCTGCCGTTAGGATTCTGGAACGCTGCGGGTAGAGGCTGCGGTCGTGAGGCCCTGGCCTTTCCTGGTCGAGTCCGGACAGAGGGGCAACCACATGCAAGGGAAGGAGAGCGGAGGGGCCCGTGCCGACCATGGAGCTGTACCTCAGCGCTGCTCCAAGCCTGACCATGTCGCCGTCACCAAGACGGTCGCCAGCGTCCTGGCCGCAGACAGAGAGCAGTGCGGAGACGTGAGTAGCCTCAAGCCGGGCGGCGTCTTCCTCTGGCGGCCGCAGGCATGGTGGGGAGCGGGGCAGGGATCGCCACTCACGCAAGGGTCGCGAGCGAGGCTCCCAACTGTCCCGCTTCAGGAGGCCGCCCTCTTGGGGCGCCCGGGGGCGGTGGCGGTGACTCGGACTGTACCCGCCTCAACTGGTAGGCGTGGGACGCCAGGGGAGCTGGTGACCCGGGAAGCGGGAGGACCTCAGGAGGCCTTGAACCCTGCCTGACTGTGTGATTCCTCGGTGTCTTTGGTTGGAGTGGAAGTAGATTGGTCTAAACGAGAGGAATACTGCCTAAGAGGAAATAGCAAAACTCTCCAATTGTGTCTGACAGGGCGTGCACAACACCCACTTTGTTGGAGCTGCTCAGCTATTGGATCTACCTCTCGGGGTCAAGCTGCCTGTGATCCCCGGAAGCAATGCTGTGTACTATACTACAAATATCGGTGAAAAGGTGAACGAGTTTTTATCGTTTTCTTTCCTTTAGCCTTTACTACTTTCTGTTCAATTCAGAGGCTGCATCATACAACATCCATTCAAGGAATTTGCATCAACAGTCACAGGAAAAAAAATCTGACCGAAGGTATTGTTGAGAATGCATATGAAGCATTTTCATCTAATATGGTTTGGACATAATCATAGGCCAGAAAGTTTAAATTCTTAGTACTTAATTTACAATTCATGGTACCATATTAATATTCCTTATAATAAAACTTCATATATACATACATAGTAAGTTTTGATGTACCTAGAAACATGTTTGGGAGGTGAAAGGCTATTAGTGCTAGCTGCCATTTAATTATGTGTATTACTTTAACTGACCATCTTGGACCAAACTCTCTTCACAGGACACATTATTTTGTTTTGAGTTGAATACTGTTTTAAACAAATAAATTAAAAAAAAAAAAGAACTAAAACAGTGGGAGTTAAAATGAGTTAGTATGTTAGTACTTTAACCTCATTTCAATGAAAGAAAGGCCTGCCTCGATGAGGAAGAGACTCCATAATGTGCCCCAGCCTTTTCATCCAGTATTGTCTCCAACCAGAGGCTCAGTTCTTTAAGTGATGATGTCTTTTACACCTACCCATGAATACGAGGCTAATACTTCTGTATTTTGTCAGCTTTGCCCCCAAACCTGGCATACTCTGTCTTCTTCTCCCCAGTCTATGAGTCTGAGATATCTTTTAAGAAACCCTGAACTGTTATAGCCACTCGCCCCCGCCCAATTAATTGATCTTTGCTTAGGATTCATGTTGACCTGGATTTGTACGATCTCTTATACAAACCAGGCTTAATTGTACTGGATTATAGTGTGTACGTCCCTTAAGCCTTTTCATGTTTTAGTCCTCAACACCAAACCTACCCCCATACCTCCTCAGCCTTTGACTAAGTAGTCAATGTTGAAGGGGGTTTAGTACATTCTTATTGACTGGTTGCTTTTATCAATTTTGCAGAAAGTTATACAAGATAGAATTCTAAGTGACCTACTTACCCTTCTAATGTCTATGATGTCATCAGAAATGAGTAGAACCCCTTGGTATTTGATACTTGCCTAATGCCTTATACACAGTTCAGGCTGTTATAACAATGTACCATAGATTGGTGGCTTAGAAATAACATAAACGTATTTATCATTGTTCTGGAGCTGGAAGTCCAAGACCAGGACACCAGCATGGTCAGATTCTGGTGAGGGCCCTTTGCAGTCTTTTCATTACCTCCCAGCATGGTAGTAAGAAGGCTAGAGCATTCCCTGTGGTCTCTATAGGAACATTACCCTCTTGATGAAGACTCCACCATCATGACTTAATTATCCCTCAAGGCCCCAGCTCCTAATGGCATCACATTGAAGGTTCAGATTGCATATGAATTTTAGGGGCATACAGTCAATCTAATATACTAAATAAACATGATTTCTTAAAGCAAGTTTTCTTTCTGGAAAAAGTATAATTGCCCTTTTAAAAAACTGATCTGTTCTATTACATTAGAGCAAGTGAACTACAAATACATCATCTTCAAACAATTTGAGTCACATCCACACAAACTTTGCAAAAACATGCTTGAAACTTATTCTCCATTATAGGAGATATAATTCCTCTTTAGTGTATAAACTTAGAACTCCGTCTTTGGTCTCCTCCCTCAAATATATTCTTTTTACTCTATTGCCATCTTCTCTGTCTACCATTAAGTCACTTGTCTACTACTTTTCAAAAAGATGTTCGATTTTTATTACATTATTTATCCCCAAATTTGTTTCGTGATAATTAGGCACCATACTAGTTTTTCTGAAGACTTTTCTCTTTCAGAGTACCCTTCTTCATGAAGTCACGCTTTATATTTACATTTTAAGGGAAACCAGATATATTAATTGGCAATAGAAAGGTTACTCTGGCTCAGATGGGTGGATCTGTTTAAAGGTGTTCTTAGTTTACAGGTCAGTAGCACTTCAGGTTTGGTATTGAGACACATATGCCTGTCACGGCTAAAAGTTAACATTTTTAAAAAGTTTACAGCTAAATGTCAATATCTGAAATAAATATTCAGTACACTCCTTGACTTACTGTTATTATTTCCCTTTCCAGAAAAGATCTGGGCTTCATTTGTGAACTCACTGAATTCAAGGCTTTCTCCTATGGGAGTCCTTTCTTTACCTTCTCAGGAAAGCATTGGTAATCAGGGAATCTAGCTTTCTGGTTAGACTCCTTGGAAGGGATTAAAGTTTAGTGTTACACAAGAGGTCAGAAACTTAAAGAAGCTTTTAAATGCAAAGGAAGAGCTAGTATCCTATTAACGTTCCTCTCATCTACCTTTTACTCATATACAAAGCATCCTCCTACCTATCTTTCTGGAGTTCTTTTAAGGGTCCAACCTAGCCAGGCTCCATAGTGTTTAGGATCTGGACTGCAACTGTGGCTACAGCCAAACTGAAAACAGAGGTCACAAATTGGTGCCTCTACACATGTCTGGATTGGTGCTTAGTATTGCTGTGGTAGTATAAATTGAACTGTGTACCTGCAAGGGCAGATGCTCTCTGGTTTGCCATATTACCAACATACTCCAATTATCTGTCCCCTGAGAGTCATTTCCTGATTTGACATTATTTTGAACTATTATAAAACATATGTTGTTCTGGCCCAGCAAACTTAGAAAGAAAGGATGTAAAAAACAACATTAGCACAGCTTCCTACTCTCATTCTCTACTTTTTCCATTTCAGAAGTCCCCCAATAAGCCATTATCAGCGTCCTGCCATTGAAAAACTGAGAACTCACACCAAAAAAACTCACTTTGCTAATGTTTTAATTTGTGGTGAGATTGAATAACTCAGCTTCTTTCTCTAATGCAGCAGATATAGAAACATAACTAATAACTGATTATCTTTTCCTCCTTATATATTTCAATGGCTATTGCCTAAAGGTGTATTTGGTCTTCACACAAATGAATAAACTTCAGTTTTAAAAATTAGTTCTTCAATATGTTCAATTGCATAATATAGACCTCAGGTATTTGTCTTATTCTAGCACTCAGAGACTGTTCATTTCATGCATTAAAAACCCCAAGATGCAATGACTCTTTAACTCAAAATCTTTAATATCCAACTTTTACTTTTACGATTTGTTAGTTATTTTCATAAATTTTGATGAACATTTTGTTATTTTTGTTCATTTTAAGATGATTGAAATCAAATTATAATTACTATTATCCCTTTATCTTTCGAATATAATGTTCTGATTTGAGAAAGGGAGGAGGAAAATAAAGAATCCTAGCATTGGCTTTATACCTTAATACAAACTATAATCTATTCCCTTTCTTTTCCTCTTCTTTTTTCTTATTTGACTGAGAGCCAGGGTCTGGAGATGATTAGAGGAGAAACTGATTGAGGGAAGGTGAGTCTTTGGGATAACTTATGCAGGTGAGCAAAGAGGAAGAGAAAGGCAGGAAAGCACACCCAACATCAATTTTTCTGTAGCTGTTTTTCTCCACTTCAGATTTTTGTTCCACATTATTTTCAATGAACATTCTAATTATTGTGATAGATTTTTTTTAAGTAAAAATGCATTAATTTTACATATTTTTGACTCTGTGTGTTTGCAGCTTGTTCGACCTTCTTATGGTTTTAACCTGACTGATCCTTATTGTCGACTTTTGGAAAACCAATATAACAGCCTCCATGATCCACATTTAAAAGCATACTATAAGCGCAAAGATATTCTGAAGAGATTAAAGAAAGGTGGCTATGTCACCAGCAATAATAAAGTGGGTTAAACATTACTTCTTTTTTTAATCAATGAAACCCTTTAAAACTTGATATAAACTTGTTTCTATACCTCACTGGGGGCGGGGGGCCTGTGTCACTTTGAACCTGGTCATGAGACAATACTTAATAGGCAGTTCTATACATTTCTCAGTATTTGGATCAAGAGAAATCAGACAACAGTTGTTGCTAAATAAAACTACTCTTCCTTCACCTTTTTTCTTTGTAATATGAAAAATTATTGACAAATAATTTGAGAATACAAAGACATATTAATTTTCCCATGTGTATTATAGCCTTCTTTGTCTTTAATGGCATTATATAGTGTATTTAATTATATAATTATACAACGTATAATTGTCGAGGATTCTGTTCCACATACTTTTAAAACTTGAGATGAAATAAAAACCTACAAATTTCAGTCTGTTAGAACCTTGATAGAGTATTTTCCAGTTGGAGTCTTACAATGTTATTACATGCAAAATTATAATCCAGTTACAGCTAATTTAAATTATTACTGTGATAACTCTAAATTTGTTGACTAAACTTCTTTTATGATATTAGTCATATTAATAAAGTGATATGTATACTTTAGAGACAGGTTTTTAGAGACAGGTTCTCACTTTGTTACCTACACAGGAGTGCAATGGCATAATCATGGCTCATGGCAGCTTTGACCTCCTGGGCTCAAGCTGTGTTCCTGCCTCAGCCTCCTAAGCAGCTGGCACAGGCACATACCCTCCCACCTGGTTTTTTGTTGTTTTTTTTTTTAAGAGATGGGGTCTTGCTGTGTTGTCCAGGCTTATCTCAAACTCCTGGCCTCAAGAAATCCTCTTGCCTCAGCCTAAGTTATATTTTTGGATAGAAATTTCTTGCTGATTAACAAATGCAGAAAGATACTACTCTACAACATTGTTAGCAGTTTATTACTCTTTAGGCCAAAATGTCATTAAATTGTAGGTCACTCCTATTTTTTTGGAAAGTGATTTTTAAATCATTAAAATAATTTTAAAATATATATTTAAAATATTTATATAATTTTAATATATTTAATATTTTTTAAATATTGATGTGTTTTCCTTTTTGTTTGTAGGTTGTATGTACTTTGAGAGAATTTAATAAGTACAGGCAATACCTTACCAGTTTAAAATTAGACTTTGAAAGAAACTATATAAGAGAACAAGTGAGTTAAACACTTAAATTTGGTTTGTTTACATAGAGTTTGGAAGAAATCCTTACTTATATGTAGAGTGTTTTTTAAATCATATTTGATTCTTAATTATTAATAAAGTAATTGCATATTTTTCAATTGAAAATTTAGAGTAGGAAAAACATTATTTGGATGCAGCTATGTTTGGCCAAGAATGGAAAAGGGACTGGGTAATCCATCAACACATTAGTAGTAGCTGGCATAATTTAGTAATTAAATCACTAGTCAGATGTGTTGTTTCCCCCTGAGCTAAGGCCAATAAGAAACATCTCTTGTGGCAGAAAGATTCTTAAGTAAAACCTAAAACAGTTTGAGCCATAGGAAAATAACAATAAATACCTGTAATGTTCTATGGTGATTCAAGAACATGTACATTCTGTGTTTGAACTCATACAGGTGCACCTGTATTCATCCAGTAAAAATGTTGTTCTTAAATGTGAAGTGGAATGATTGGGTGTAGTGAGCTGTTATGGAGAGTGACTTCCTTTTGATTTTTGACTCAAAGATGTGTGTGTGTGTGTATGTGTGTGTGTGTGTGTGTGTGTGTATTCAGATTTTAGGGTCAAGAGGTTTGGATCAAAATGACAAAGATGTGTGTATATGTGTGTTTGCGAAGGTATGTTCTAAAAATAAGAGGACTGAATAAAATGAGAAGGACTTCTGTATACTTCTAAGTATTCTATATTTTCCCCACTTCTTTCGGTGCCCAGTGTTTCTTCTCTACTTCCTGCATATTTTTATTTAAGTTACTTAGAATATGTTGACAAATAAATGGAAATTTTACCTTTTATTTTTAGAGAGATGAATCTTAATTTTGTTTTACTTGTCTACATCTTTAATGGATTCAAAATAGATGTAAATGCAATTAAACAGAATTAAGCATTTATAAAATGTAGGAATTTATATGATTCTATTTCTGGGAAATGTAAAAAACATTATATATATATGTAATATACACATTTCTTAAATAGAAAATACTTGTGAAACAACTATATAACGTACCAGAAAACAATCAAATCCCTCAATATTCTGATGTTGCCCAAGTCCAGAACTGGTTGTTAAAGGAGGGCACTGAATCTGTCAAGGACCAGGAGCGGTTAACGAGGCATAGGTAAGATAAAACTCTTGATGGATATTTTATGTGTATGTTGTGGACCCAAATAAGTTGGAAAATACTATTGTGGACTCAAATAAGTTGGAAAATACTAGAAAGAATTGAACAACTTATTGTAAGACCTAGACACCATTCTCCTGGATTTTTCAGAGTGCAGAAGGAAGCAAAACCAAGAGGTGGAAGAATTTACTACCAGAGGAGTTAGGGTTGCTGAAAGCCCCAGGGATAAGGCAAACTGATCATTGAAGGAAAAATTAGATCCAAAATTTTTCTATAGTAGAATAGGGAGAGAAAGAATCTTTAGCACATGCCTCAAATAATAACAGCTTTTTATGATTCATCTTTAAGGATTGAGAGCATTGTTTGAGGAAGTTAGTGCAAAGTCAAAAACAGATTTGGTATCACTGATGCCAATATAAATATGTGTTGTCTATAAAAAAAGAGCATAAACTCATTTAGATATGACTCAGTCATAGTCAATCATGGCCATTCCATGAACAAGCCCATTTCTTAGAAGTAAGGATTTTATAGTTCTTTCTCCTGTCCTAGGGATGGAGTAAGGAATTTGGCTACATTACCTGACTTCTATATACATTCCATGGTTTCATTACATGGTATTGTTACCATAATACATATTGATGTACCAGAGATGCAGACTACAGATGGGAGGTTTGTTAAAGGACTTATAAAGTATAAGGAACCCAATGCCCACTTTTTCTTAGAGAATTCATTTTCTTTTTCTACTTTTGAAGTTACAGTTTCAGCTATTTCAGCCATATTTGCAAGCACACCTTCTTAAACCTGCTGATTTATGAATGCTTACTGTGAAATATGTTTTGAATAACTTCGGTTCACTTTTTACCATTATCTTTGCCATCATATCAGATAACTGGGTATTGGGAAGACCTTATAATGAGTAAAACATGCTGAGTTGGTGGGTTAGGCTGGTTTTTTTTGAAGTCAACAAATCTTTCATATATATATATATGTGTGTATTTTTTATTGCACTTTAGGGGTTCTGGGGTACATGTGCAGAACATGCAGGATTGTTGCATAGCTACCTACATAGCAATGTGGTTTGCGCTTCCATCCCCCGTCACCTGTATCTGGCATTTTTCCCCATGTTATACCTCCCTAACCTCCCCACCCGCTGCTGTCCCTCCCCAGTCCCCTCAACACACCCCAGTTTGTGATGCTCTTTTCCCTGTGTCCATGTCTTCTCATTGTTCAACACCCACCTATGAGTGAGAACATGCGGTGTTTGATTTTCTGTTCTTGTGTCAGTTTGCTGAGAATGATGGTTTCTAGATTCATCCATGTCCCCACAAAGGACATGAACTCATCGTTTTTTATGACTACATAGTGTTCCATGGTATATATGTGCCACATTTTCTTTGTCCAGTCTGTCATCAATGGGCATTCGGGTTGGTACCAGGTCTTTGCTGTTGTAAACAGTACTGCAGTGAACATACATATGCATGTGGCTTTACAATAGAATGATTTATAATCCTTGGCTGGCTATATATGCAGTAATGGGATTGCTGGGTCAAATGGAATTTCTATTTCTAGGTCCTTGAGGAATTGCCACACCGTCTTCCACAATGGTTGAACTAATTTACACTCTCAACAACAGTGTAAAAGTGTTCCTATTTCTCCACATCCTCTCCAGCATCTGTTGTCTCCAGATTTTTTAATGATTGCAAAAATTTTTTCCCATTCTGTTGGTTGCCAGTTCATTCTAATGATTGTTTCTTTTGCTGCACAGAGCTCTGGAGTTTAATTAGACACAATTTGTCTATTTTGGCTTTTGTTCCCAATGCTTTTGGTGTTTTAGTCATGGAGTCCTTGCTTTTGCCTATGTCCTGAATGGTTTTGCGTTGGTTTTCTTCTAGAGTTTTTATGGTATTAGGCCTTATGTTTGAGTCTTTAATCTATCTGGAGTTAATTTTAGTGTAAGGTATCAGGAATGGGTCCAGTTTCTGCTTTCTGCACATAGCTAGCCAGTTTTCCCAACACCATTTTATTAAACAGGGAATCCTTTTACCATTGTTTGTTTTTGTCGGATTTGTCAAAGATCAGACGGTTATAGATGTCTGGCATTGTCTCCGAGGCCTCTGATGTGTTCCATTGGTCTATATCTCTGTTTTGGTACCAGTACTATGCTGTTTTGATTAATGTAGTCTTTGTAGTATAGTTTGAAGTCAGATAGTGTGATGCCTCCCGCTTTGTTCTATTTGCTTAGAATCGACTTGGCTATGCGGGCTCTCTTTTGCTTCCATATGAAGTTTAAGGTGGTTTCTTTCCAGTTCTGTGAAGAGGGTCATAGTAGCTTGATGGGGATAGTGTTGAATCTATAAATTACTTTGGGCAGTATGGCCATTTCCACAATATTGATTCTTCCTAACCATGAGCATGGAATGTTTTTCCATCTGTTTGTGTCCTCTCTTATTTCCTTGAGCAGTGGTTTGTAGTTCTCCTTGAAGAGGTCCTTTACATCCTTTGTTAGTTGCATTCCTAGGTGTATTTTATTCTCTTTGTAGCAATTGTGAATGGCAGTTCACTCTTGATTTTGCTTTCTTTAAGTCTGTTATTGGTGTATAGAAATGCTTGTGATTTTTGTACATTGATTTTGTATCCTGAGACTTTGCTGAAGTTGCTTATCAGTTTCAGGAGATTTTGGGCTGAGATGATGGGGTCTTCTAAATATACAATCATGTTGTCTACAAATAGAGACAATTTGACTTTCTCCTTTCCTAATTGAATACACTTTCTTTTTCTTGCCTGATTGCTCTGGCTATAATTGCCAATACTATATTGAATAGGAGTGGTATTGAGGGAGGGCATCCTTGTCTAGTGCCAGATTTCAAAGGGAATGCTTCCAGTTTTTGCCCATTCAGTATGTTATTGGCTGTGGGTTTGTCATATATAGCTTTTATTATTTTGAGGTACATTCCATCAATACCTAGTTTATTGAGAGTTTTTAGCATAAAGTGCTGTTGAATTTTGTTGAAGGCCTTCTCTGGATCGATTGAGATAATCATGTGGTTTTTGTCTTTGGTTCTGTTTATGTGGTGGGTTACCTTTATAGACTTGCATATGTTGAACCAGCCTTGCATCCCTGGGATGAAGCCTACTTGATCATGAGGGATAAGCTTTTTGATGTGCTGTAGCAGTCGGTTTTCCAGTATTTTATTGAAGATTTTTGCACTGATATTCCTCATGGATATTGGCTGAAGTTTTCTTTTTTTGTTGAGTCTCTGCTAGGTTTTGGTATCAGGATGATGTTGGTCTCATAAAACGATTTTGGAAGGATTCCCTCTTTTTGGATTGTTTGGAATAGTTTCAGAACCAGTGGTACCAGCTCCTCTTAGTATTTCTGGTGGAATTTGGTTGTGAATCCATCTAGACCTAGACTCTTTTTGGTTGGTAGGCTATTAATTGCTGCCTCAACTTCAGCCCTTGTTATTGGTCTATTCAGGGTTTCAACTTCTTCCTGGTTTAGGCTTGGGAGTGTGCAAGTGTCGTCCAGGAATTTATCCATTTTTTTCAGGTTCACTGGTTTATGTGCATAGAGTTATTTGTAGTAATCTCTGATAGTAGTTTGTATTTCTGTGGAATCGGTGGTGATATCCCCTTTATTGTTTTTTATTGCGTCTGTTTGATTCTTCTGTCTTTTCTTTTTATTAATCTGGCTAGTGGTCTTCTATTTTGTTGATCTTTTCAAAAACCGGCTCCTAGAAATATTGATTTTTTGAAGGGTTTTTTTGTGCCTCTATCTCCTTCAGTTCTGCTCTGATCTTAATTATTCCCTGTCTTCTGCTAGCTTTGAATTTTTTTGATCTTGCTCCTCTAGCTCTTTTAATTTTGATGATAGGGTGTCAATTTTAGATATTTCATTGCTTCTCATGTGGGAATTTATTGCTATAAATTTTCCTTTAGACACTGCTTTAAATATGTCGCAGAGATTCTGGTACATTGTGTCTTTATTCTCCTTGGTTTCAAAGAATATCTTTATGCCTTCATTCATTTCATTGTTTATCCAGTGGACATTCAAAGCTGTTTTAAAGGTTTATAAACAGGACTGTTAGAAAAACAGTAAAATTCCTGTAGCTCGAGAAATGAAAGGTAAGCAAGGAAGTGGTTTGGAAATGGCATAACAGGTGATGCCATCATAAACGAAACAGCTAATTCACCTTCAGTAATATTTGTACTCATTCAGATATTTGGATATGATAAGTAGAAAACTAGAACAACTTGAACGCACAGCAGAAGAACAATGCCTATACCTGATGGATAGAGAAAAAAGACGACAGCGGGAACACACAAGAAGAAAACTTGCTCTTCGTAGAAAAATCGAAGAGGTGAGAGATAATAACTTTAAAATATTAAGAGATAAATTGTGTACCGTTGTTTCACTTGTAAATAATTTTAACTGTACATTGTACTGCCTGAAGTCATTTCAGTTCAAAATAATTTGTTTCCACTAAATATTCTTCATAGCTGTAATACACAAGTTGTTACATATTGTGAGGTGGATACCAGGAAGTATGTATATGAGCCAGTTTCTACTCTAAAAGAACAGTTAGAAAGTTACCAGACACTATTGAACTCTCTTAAAGCCTTTATTGTGGAGAGGAATTTTTTTTAAATTTAGCTTTAGTAAAAAATAATCATATCTACATTCCTAATAAGAATGAAGAAGAAAAGTCTATTCTAAATGCAATGTATGACTTCTGTTTTGCTTAACCTGATTTCTATTAGGCTCTGACTTCTTTAATATACTTTTTGGTGGGACAAAATACAAAGATATTGTTATGAAGGGAACACATGCCAAGTGCAGTAACGTTGTGATTTCTAGGAATGGAAGGCAAAAGAAATGTTACTTCTGACAAAGATGGCAGAAGATGTTAAAAGAGAAGAGAGGATAAAAGAAAAACGGCATAGAAACAGAAAAAAGAGTGTCAGAAAGGTAGGGTGAGCTTTAACCTCTAACTCGATCTGTTTGAAGAGAAGATTTTGTTTTTGTTTGTTTTTTGAAGTACAAATCACTTTGTGAGATGACTGATGATCAGTTACTCCAAATAATATGCATGATATAAAACTGAAAGTTCGGGACAATTTTGCTACATTTTGACTATACTATAAAATGTACTGTTATGTGATATAACTATTTTATGCTTTATTTTTACACCATAAACTGAACTTGTAATTACTATGAAAAAATTAAATGACTGAATTAGTTTTTTTAGAACCAGCGATTCTTGGCAGGATTTCTCATTTTTTCTTTTACCAGTTAATTAATTTTATTTAGCTTACCTGTTTTTATCTCTAATAATATATAAGATTTTGTGATTTAGAGTGTAAATTAATATAAAGAAAGAGAAAAATCCTACCACCACAACCCTATCAACTTTTTAGTTCGCACATATACACATACACCCCACCAGAATGTTTCAAAAAATATTTATTTATCCCAATTAATAATTGAATACACGATATTATACCTCACAAGCTGTGTGTAGACTATTTTTATTCCATAAAATCATTATCAACTTAGCATGTTGATAAACATTGATCTAAATTTCTAAATAGCAATTTTAAATAGGTTATTGTTAAGAAACCTAGATGTGAATGTAAGAATTAAACAATTTGATTTGTATTGACATATACTGTTATATAGCAATTTTGTAAAAATATTGGAAGTTTAAATATGTATGCTTATCTCTCTTTCTTACCTGTATCTTTCAGTACCATCAGACACTCACTGTTCATATTGCAGGCTCAGCTTATTCCAATTTACCATGATTATTATTTTTCTTTTTTTTTTTTGTTTTCCTCCTCCTCCTTCTTATTCCTCTTTCTCTTTTTCTTCCTCCTTCTCCTTCTTCTTCTTCCTCTTCCTCTTCCTCTCTTCTTTTCTGTAGAGATGAGTTTTCACTACATTGCCATACTGGTCTCGCACTCCTGAGCTCAAATGATTCTCCCACCTTGGCCCCCTGAAGGGCTGGGATTACAGTTGTCAGCCACCATGCCCATAATTATAATTAATATTTTTACTATTCAATTTTTCACTATTTTCAATGAGAAGCCTCACCAACTTGTTCTCTTCTGTTTGTTCTGAAACTGCACATCTCTGAAAGTATCGTTTTCCTGAAGCAATTGAATGCACTAGATTTTTCTCCATTTGCCTAATGTCAATTACTACTCAAGGAGTTATGGTCAATTTTAGTGCAGACTAATAATGCAACTGAACAAAATCGGAGGAGTGCTCATTAGATGTGGTCACTGACTGTAAGCCTGATAACACCACAGGCTGCCTAAGCCATGCTAATGGCAGAGCCATTTGAACACTGGTATTTCCAATGAGGTTATTTTACAATTGTCTTTTGTGAATCTTGTTTTATTATGAGATTTTGAATTCCTTTGTGTTTCTTAATATTTTTTTAAATAAAAAATGATTTTTATTGTTTTTTGAAAATATAAATAACAAAATTGGCAAAAAAAACAAGCAGAACCAAAAAAATGATGTTTATATATGAGTGATAATCTCCAAGCACAACAGCATTTATTAATGAATATAAAAAATAAGTTTTATTTTTATTTGCTTTCCCCCCGGATTTGACTACATGGATAGTTTTAGAAGCTTCAGTTCCTAAGATAATTCCATAGCTACACTGGCTCCTACAATGTGACAGAGTGAGGTTAAGGTCGCACTCCCATCAGGGAAATATCCTTGGTGATTCTGAACTAGACCCTTAGACATGTAAAAAAACAGGTGCTTTCATTAGGATCCTTCTAACATGGAAAAAATACAGCCATCGTCCATTAAAACACAATCCAATTTGGGTTCTCTTAAGGTTTTCTAAGTTCTCCACATGAAAATAAACTAGGCCACTGTCTTTTCTGGCAACTCAGCCTACAGCCATTGCCATCTTCCTAAATAGCAGCCTCCCAAGCTGCACACAAACTGGGATTAACAAAACCGAAGATAACAAGTTTTTGACTTTCTTCCTAGAAGTGAAAGCACTCTTCAGGTAGAAAAGGTCAGGAGGTTTTGCATCAAGCTTGCCTTCACACACTCACTATTGGTGGCAGGGTTGTGCAATCTACCCATCGCACACCTGTATTGAGTGAGTGTACTTACCCATCACACACAAGGAAGCTGGAGTAAATTAAGTCACTCTGGAACAAGCCCCTCAAAATAGAGGCAAATCTGGTGAACCAAGGTCATTCACTGCCTGTGGTAATAACCTCAGTTCACCTAAGTCCTTTCCTGAAGAACCACATTAATCTCCTGATTCAAGAGGCACCTCTGGCCAGCACAGAGCACAGAAGGAAAGCGTAACTTCAGGGTAGGGGAACACCACATGGAATTTAGAAGTTGCAGTTTAGTCTACAGCAAAAGATGGCAGCATCACTAATATTTAGAGCTGGAAAGAGCGTTGGCTGAACCACACTCCGGGAGCATCTTTACTAATGCAGTTTAACAGCAGTTGCCCAGATGTCGTTGCTGGGGAGCGGGGGAAGGACCCATCCTTGGGAATGAAGTTGCCTTTGGGATGATCAGATGGCACCAGGTACTGATCCCAATCATGCCTGATCTGGATGAGCGCTGGCAGGGAGTGCTCTGCTTGGAGGTAATACTGTCGGAAAGGCTCCAAGAGATGAGCAAGTGGGAACTCGTCTGGATCCCCAAACAACTTGGACTCAATTTCACGTTTCTGAAGTAAAATTTTCTCTTTTTCTTTTCTTTGTTTCTTTTCTAATTCTCTTTTCCTCTCTTCCTCTTGTTCTCCTTCCAGCATATAACCCTGAGGGCTCTCTCTTCAGCTTCATACCGTTAGAGCGCTTTTTAATGAGTTTTCGCAGTCACTGAAGATGATGCTCAAAAGTTTCATCTGCTGAAGCTGGAGGACAGACCCCTTTCCGTGCTGCAGCCTCTTTCCTCAGTTCCCTCAACTTCTCCAAAGCCCAAAGAATGTCCACCATTCTTTTAGTATCTGCTTGTTTTTTCCTCACTTCAGACAGTACGCCAGCTGCTTTGAGTTCCTGCTCCCGCTTCTTCTCTACCTCCTGCACACACTTGACCCTCCAGCGGTCAATCTCCTGCTCGCGTTCCACCGCTCGCGCGGCCTCTGCCTCCCGCTCGGCTCGCGTTCCCGGGCCCTCTCGTGAAGCCGCAGCCGGCGGCGCAGGACCCTCTCCAGCCTTCTCCGCGCCTCACCCACATGGGCAGCCTGGGTCAACGGCTGTAGGGCCCAGGCGGCGTCGTCTGCTTCGGCCTCGTGCAAGGCCTGGCTGAGGCCGCGTAGCCGCCGCACCAGGCGCAGAGCCCCGCGCAATTGCGCGCGTACTTCGCCAAGACTGGACCCGGCTTGCGTGCGCTGGGGAACCGGACAGCCCGCCTGCCGCGGGGGTCCCAAACACCGCCTCCAGCCACTGCCGGTCGCGCAGGCGCTGGAGGGCCGCATCCCCAACCATGTCGGCCGGCGGCGGCGTCTCAGGGCAGCGCGGGCTCCAGGCGGCCCCGGGCCGGGAGGCGGCAGCCACGGCCGCTCGCCGGCGTCGGTCCCCGGGAAGGGCCGGCACTGGGGCGGCAGTGGTGGCACCGGGTAGAAGGCGCCAGTGCCGCCGCCGCCGTGGGAGGCTTCCGCGGAGGCTCGGGGCTGCAGAGCCAGCGGAGGCTGAAGAAAGGGGGCGGAGGCCCCTGGAAAAGGGCCGGGCCGCTGGGGGAGAGGCGGCGGGAAAGCCGGGAAGGGCAGCGGCGGTGGCTGACAGCCTAAGGGAGCGGGAGGCGGCGGCTGCGGGGGCAGTGGGCCTGGGCGACCCTGGCCGAAAAAGGGTGGCAAAGCCATGTTCGCGACGGAGATGCTTTGAGAAGCGCCGCCGTGGGAGGCTTCCGCGGAGGCTCGGGGCTGCAGAGCCAGCGGAGGCTGAAGAAAGGGGCGGAGGCCCCTGGAAAAGGGCCGGGCCGCTGGGGGAGAGGCGGCGGGAAAGCCGGGAAGGGCAGCGGCGGTGGCTGACAGCCTAAGGGAGCGGGAGGCGGCGGCTGCGGGGGCAGTGGGCCTGGGCGACCCTGGCCGAAAAAGGGTGGCAAAGCCATGTTCGCGACGGAGATGCTTTGAGAAGTGACAGGAATCTGAGTCGTGTTTCTTAATATTTTTGTCTTATGATTTTAAGATTTGACGTAATGTTTTCACTGCAATTATGTCTTATGGTTCAGATTTTGCTCTTAATATCTTCAAAAGTTTTTGTATGGCCCTATTTTTGGACTCTTCTCTATTCTTTGACCTATTTGTTTGATTATTGTACCTTTAAATTCTTTCAGTGTGTAGTGCTAGCCTTACACATTTGTTTTTCTTATTTCAGTTGTTTTAGTTAATCTCAAGTCCTTTTGCATTTCCATACTAATTTTAGCATCAGCTTATTAATTTCTAACAAAATGTCTTGCTGAGATTTATTTTATCGGATTTGCATTAACTCTATAGGTCAGTTTTGGGCACAATTTACCTCTTAATAATATCGAGTCTTTCAACTCAAAACCACGTCTCTTCATTTATTTAGGTCTACTTAATCTCTCTTAACAGTGCTATGTAGTTTGCACTGTACTGTTCTTAAAGATCTTTTCATAGATTCATCCCTAGGTATTTCATAGTTTATGCTATTGTAACATATTTTTTAAATTTCAAATTTGAATACTTAATGCTAATATATAGAAAAACATCTGATTTACGTGTATTCCTCTTGTATCATGCGTTGTTAAAAATCATAGTCAGTTCTAGTAGTACTTTTTCTACATGCCAATTAATAGTCTACATAGATGATCATTTCTGTGAATAAAGGGAGTTTTATTTCTTCCCATGTGAGTATCTTTCATTTATTTTTTCTTGCTTGATCTCCTGCCTACAACTTCAGTATAGAAGCAGACATACGAGCTGTTTTTGATTGGTGATTTGTTTGATAGTGCTC